TTCCCCTGAACTCTTGTATGCTGCAGGGAACTAAATAGCCACTAACCTGGCTACCAAAATGGCCTGTTCTGAGTGACTTCAACCCTAAAAGCAGGGTATCTTTTTTTTTTTAAATTGTGAAAATACTGTACAGAGGGGTTACAATTACATGGGCAAGATAATGAGTACATTTCTTATCAAGCATTGTAGCCTCCTCCTTTGTTTCTCCTCTCCATCCCTTCCCATCCTCCCCCTGCTCCCTACCAACCCCCCCCCCCCCACGCTCCCCCCCCCCCCCCCCCCCCCGCACCAAAGTTGTAAAGTTCGTTTTCAACAAATGACTTGTACATCTGATTGTAAAGCAGGCATCTTGTGCAAGTTATTTAGCCCCTTTGACTCTGTTTCTTCATCTGCAAAATAGATATGATTGTATCTACTTCATAGGTTGCAGTACAGGTTAAAAGACAGTATCTGCAAAAACCTTAAAGGATTTACCCCAGAAGCAGAAATTCAAGAAATTGTAACTTAATAATCCTTAAATAATTATAATGGGCTCAAACTCTCCACTCCAGTCACTAGGTAGAAATCCGGTCTGACCTCACTGGGGTGGAGAGGGACAAGGCCTTCTTACTTTAGGTGAAAATAATCAACTCAACTTGCTCATTCCACACAGAACCATCCCACTCCCAGATCATCTCATGTTCCACAAAGCACACATTGCATGGACATGTGAAGGAATAAAACTGGAGCCAGTTCTCATCATCAAACACAACAAAGCAAGAAATGGCTGGGTGGGAGTGTTTCCTGTCTTTCTTCTGACACAGGTTTCGCTTTCTTCTCACTTCCCCTTTGACTCCTCTCTCCTTTACAGCAGCTCTCTAAATTGCCCTGATACACCAGCCTCTTCCTCACAGTTCACACTCAGCCACTTTCATAGGAGTTCTCAAATTTTAAGTATTTCTTGGTGAAAAATAAGGCCCAGGAAAGAAAGTTAAAGTTTTGAACAAATGATTCTGTACTACTTAGAGGGAAATTTGCTTTCTTATATTTTGATCATGTTTATCAACAACATATATGGGACATCATTCACGTCCAAAGATTTTACATCACTGGAAATAGAAATGTTGTTAGAAAAAAAGTCAAAATATGGTTAAAATATACACATGACAACTGGAGAGAATTTGGAGCCCTTTACTGGGATAAAGGAAATTCCCTTCTATTTTTAATGATGAAGAATTAGTTTAAAACTTAAAACCTCAAGTATGCTTTTAAAACTACAGTATGTCAAGAATATGCTTCCTAAATATCTTAGGTCCATGTAGCACATTTTGTAGGCAGAGAAAAAGAAAAGAAAAAAGAAAACTGGACCACAAGGATCTTAAGATACTTTTTTGTTGATTGTTTTTAAGCCTGTGATATGTTCTGTATGTTTGTAGTCATGAAAATTGTTCTGGAAACAGTTAATGTTAAACAGTTCAATGTTAAACTATGTCTGTGTGAAGAATATCTGGGCATACATTCAAGGCCTCACACTCCTGTTTGGCTTTTTCACCCGAGGCTGGTGCTCTACGACTTAAGACACTGTCCACTTCTGTTTTTTGTTGGTTAATTTGAGATATGAATCTCTCGAATTTGTCTGTCCAAGCAGGCCTCGAATCTAGATTCTCAGATCTCAGTTTCATAAGTAGCTTGGATTGCAGGTGTGAGCCACCAGTGCATGGCAAACAATAACTCTTTTGATTCTGGATATCATGTGAAAGGAACAATATCGGTTCATAAACATTTGAGATCAATAGTTATTTTCTATGACCTGTCGTGGAAGATGCATGAGTTTGTCTTCATTCTGTTCCGACTTCTATTCCTGTAATATTCCTGGCCATATTTTATAATTTTATTAAATTTAAAAGTAACTTTAAAAATCATTTTTGTATTATAAGATATTATAATTTTATAAATAAATAAAATAAAAATATAAATAAATAAAATAAAGTAAAATAAAATAACTACAATTTCATCCTTGCTCCCAAGGGCTTAAGATTTCCCTTCAGGATAGTCACATAACAAGTGACCAGTCAGAGAAATTCAGTTTACATTCAGACTCTTAACAGAAGTCTTTCCAGTAAAGAAAAGACATAGCAGGAAGGATCTTATTCTGAAAGAATGAATAATGGTTTAAAAAAAGTCAGATAAAACATATAGCCAGCAATATACTTAATGGTGAAAAGCTAAAGCCATTTCACCTAAATTCAGGAATGAGACAAGGATATCCACTCTCTCCATTTCAATCTAGTATTAGAATGCCTAGCAAGAGCAATAAGACAAGATGCAAACATAAAGGGGACCCAAATAGGGAAAAAAGAAGTAAAACTCTCCCTCTTTGCAGATGACATGATCTTGTATTTAAAGAACCTCATGGACTCCACTCCCAAATTACTTGAGCTGATTTGAAACTTTGGCAAAGTAGCAGGATACAAAATTAACCCTCAAAAATCAATGGCTTTTCTGTATGCCAATAATGAGAAGAGTGTGGCTGAAATCAGGAAAGCAACTCCTTTTGTAATAGCTCCACGAAAAATAAAATACCTAGGAGTTAACTAAAGAAGTGAAGGACCTCTATGATGAAAACTTTAAAAGCCTGAAAAAGGAAATGATAGCAGAATTAAGGAAGTGGAAAACCTCCCATGTTCCTGGATTGATAGGATTAAAATGGCAATACTTCCCAAGGCTATCTACAAATTCAATGTGATACCTATCAATATCCCAACCTCATTCCTCAAGGAAATAGAAGCAGCAATCCAAAAATTCATATGGAACAAAAAAAGATCCCGGGTAGCAAAAACAAGTAGCTGGAGGAATATCAATACCAAACTTCAAACTCTATTATAAAGCCATAATAATCAAAACAGCTTGGTACTGGTACAAGAGCAGACCTGAGGACCAATGGAATAAAACTGAAGACCCAGAAATGAACCCACAGACTGATAACCACCTAACCTTAGATAAGGGAGCTAAAAAAAATAGAATGGAAGAAAAACAGCCTCTTCCATAAATGGTGCTGGCAAATTTGGCCTGTGAAAACTAAAGCTAGATCCCCATATATCACCGTGCACCAGAATCAATTCCAAATGGATCAAAGACTTCAAAGTCAAAGCAGACATCCAGAAAACATCACAGGAAGGAATAGGAGAAACTCTAGAGCTCCTTGGCACATGTCAAAAATATCATAATAAAGACCCAGAAACACAACAAATCAAAGAAAGGATGGACAAATGGAATTCTATGCAACTGCAGAATTTCTGAATGGCAAAGGACATAGCTAGCAAGATCAAAAGAAATCCTACAGATTGGGAGAAGATCTTCACTAGCCATACAACAGACAAGGGTCTCATATCTAAAATACACTTCAAACTAAAAAACTAAATTCCCCAACAACAAATCCTCAAAGAAACAACTGCCTGATTAATAAGTGGGCCAAAGACTTAGAGAGAGACTTCTCTGAAGAGGAAATAAGAATGGCCAATAGACACATGAAGAAATGCTCAACCTCTCTGGCCATAAATAAATGCAAATCAAAACAACATTGAGATTCCATCTATAATCAAGAACTCTAATAACAACAGATGCTAGAGGAGATATGGCTAAAAGGGCATCCTACTGCATTGTTGGTAGGAATGTAAACTTGTTCAACCACTTTGGAAAGCAATATGGAAGTTCTTCAAAAGACTCCACATAGAGCTCCCCCATGACCCAGCAATCCCACTTTTGGGCATTTGCCCAAATAATCACAAACAAAGCCATACTATGTTTATTGCAGCATTATTTGCCATAGCTAAGAAATGGAACCAACCCAGATGCCCCTCAGTAGTGAATTCATCAAGAAAATGTGATATATTTAGACAATGGATTTCTATGCCTCCATCAGAAAGAATGACATGGTCCCATTTGTTAGGAAATGGAAAGACTTGGAAAAAATTATACTAAGTAAGCCAAGCCCAAAGAAACATAGGTCCCATGATGATTTCTCTTCTCTGCAATAACTAGTTTATGTCTAGGACAAGCAGAAGAGGTCAAAAGCTATGTACATATGACCATATAACCTGATGCTAAGTGAAATGAACCCCAAGAGGTTTTATCTTTGTTGCTGTTCTTTTTAATGTACTTATAATGTACTATGTAATTTTTTTTATTTGTATGTTCTTCCCTCATGGTACAACCCCTGTTGACACTGTATTTGATTCCAGTGTCTTGCATCTTGTATATATATTTTTCTAATTTGGGGAGGGGAAGGGAAATAACAAAATGCTGAAATAAGGATTCAGGATGACCCATTGTAACAATGAGAAGTACAAGACACTATGTTGAAAATGAACTTTACAACTTTGTGGGGGGGGCGGTGGGAGAGAGGAGGGAGGACTTGGGGAGGTGGGGAGGAAAGGGATGGTAGGGGAAAAATAAAGGAGGGTGTAACAGCTCGATAGGAAATGGACTCATTACCTTACTCATGTAACTGTAACCCCTCTGTACAGCATCTTTACAATAAAAATATAAATTAAGGAGAAAAAATGTCAGATACCATGGTATTGGGAAGGGAATTACTTGGGTCAGTGAAAGTTTCTTAGCATAGGACTTGAGTTAGGAAGACATGAGTAGTATTGCTTTTTGTTTATCCAATTTTGATTGTGAGATCACTGTGCTACATCTACCAAAGACACTTCTTTAAAACAAACAAATAAAAACAAAATGAAGTGGAACAACTTATTTTTAGGATGAATCTTAAAATCATTAAATCAGAATCTCTTCAGTGATCATTTAAAAAGAGATAGATAGATCAATAATGGAATACAGTTGACTACCATTATCCCAGGATTGGAAGCCATCAGATTATTCCTGATAGACAAAGGCTTCAGGTTTCCACACAGCACATGGTCAGTCAGTCAATAACCATTGTGAAGGATTACAGAGAGATCTTATTGCAAATTGGTGGCAGGTGTAAGGAACATTTGCTTCATTGTTATTCTTACCTGGCACTCCAGCTTGAATCCAGAAGTTAATGTCTGTCCCTTCCCCTCCAGTAAAGACCTTGGTGACATTGAGATGCTTCAGCAGGCCCATGATCTCCTTCATTATGTCCCTGGCCCTTTCACTGCCACTGAACTGCAGCCCGGTGGGAAGAAAGGTTCCTGCGTCAGACTCCATCACCAGACTATAATTGGAAATATTTCCCTAAAAAAAAAACAAGAGAGAGCAAGACACAGAGAGGAGGTGTTTGGTTCCTATCTGCTGCTTCTGTGCTTTCTCCTTGGCAACTACTAAACAACAATAACCAAATTCTCAGCCTCTTTGCATGCTGTTACCAAATCATAGGTTGCTATTGCTCTGCCCAGCTTGGGGGTCTGTCTGCATATTACTTCAAGGTTTTGCAATGCAAAATTACTCATCCTGGGATTTGCCAAAAGCAATGATTGACTTGGAAGGATTTTTTTAAAGTCTAATAAACAGAATTGTATTAAATTTAGTCAATTAGTTTTTACTAGCAATAATATTCGTTCAACCATTTTCTTAAGAGTCTGCTGTATCCTGGGATACAATTCCTTCTACAAGGCAGAGATCTCCAGAGTCTTGGCCATGCTCATACGAAAGAAAGAATGCTCTGTGGACTTGTTTCTGCACCTCTTCTCTCCAAAGAGACCTTCTATCTTACTTTAATTGTGAGTTCTGCTGAAGCTAAAAGGCCTCAAACTGACAGGTTTGTCTTGGGTTTCTGATTTTGTTGTTGTCTCATCTGTTGACTCCCTAGGGAGGGAAGTAATAGAACAAGACATGAAACACTGCACTCCCTGGTGTAAAACCCTAATTGCAGGCAGCTTTTCCAGGTTGCCAGTTTGTAAACTCTTGTAAAGTCTGGTAGGCAAGCACTCAGTGATTTCATGTAGCCAGTGTTGTCACTGCAAGAGCTTAGAATATAGCAGGCACCTCTACAGGCTGTAGGCTAAATTTCTACCCAGCCCTAACTTGCAAATATAAAGCCCTCTGTTTCTCTGAAACCATGTTCTTTTCCAAGACTGATTAACCCCATCAGTTGAGTTATTCCCGAGCTATCCTCCGATGGCACTGCTACTCATTCTTCATTTGCCATTGAGTAATGGAATCTCCCTTGGTTTTCTTTGGCAATCTATGATGTAGACAAGGCAGTTTTACGACTGATGCCATTTCAATGAATAGGCAAGGTCAAGTGACTTTCTCAAATGCATGGAGCTGGCAATTGGTCCAGCTTGCTCTGAAATCCTATGCTTTCCAAACCTCCATAATGCCATTGTTAGCCTGGAGTGGAGTGGTTAAGTAACACTCATTGGTGCCTTAGAATGATTATTCACTTACATCATGTATTTCCCCCTAAAGCAGGTTCCACTGTGCAGTGGCTTATTTACATTTGTGGTGGGAATGTACTGAGCTCACAAAGACAACACTGCCAGCATTGTCAGATCTAAATGTAAGACCCTGGACCATCAGCATTTTGGTGATTAATGACGGGAGGGTTAACAAAGCAGAAGCCTGCTCATATTATTCTACTCTTGTTTCAAGGGATTCTTATCTTCATGGTACTGAGGTTTTCAGCAACAGACCCAAGTCATATGCAATAATAGGAGCCACCTTAGCTTTTAGGTGTGGCTTCTGTATTATTAAAATAGATATTATGTAAAATATTTGCATCCATGTCTTATAGTCAGGGCTTGTCTCATTCTTGTGCTGCAGTTGGAAATGTGTTTTGGGAGTCCTGTTCTTTGTTTATGGGACTTTCTCTATCCTTCCATTCTGGACTATACCTTTCCTTGCAAAAAGGAGAAAAAAAAAATCACAATCTCTTTTGCAACTATAACAGAGTAGGCAATCTTGTATGTGAATACTTCCTATATTACAGGCCAATCTCATGTTTCCAATAAGAAAGACGGGCAAATTGCTCCTAATTATGTACTATTTAGGTCAACAGTGGAGCAAGTTAGCAGTTTAGCTGTCAGACCCACCACTAATGAGCAGTCTGGTGCAGTGGACACAGCCTTGGACCCACTCTGTTCTATTCCTGACACACCAACTGGCACTGTGAGCTACCAAGGCAGATAACTGGCCTCTCTCTCTCCCTGTTATGTCCCCTTAACTCTTGACTTCTTCATCTGTAGAATGAGATAAATGCACACAGGAAGATTCTAGCATGTTTAAAGAAAAAAAAGCTTCTGTAGAAGTGAAAGTGGATTTATGAGGGAATCTAACATGGCCATTAAGGTTTTTTTCTGGCTTTCTTTAACTGAAAATGAACAGGTACTAGATGGACAGGAATCTTTACAGTCTGGAAAGGCCACTGTTCAGTGGCAGAAGATGCTGTCAGGCACACAGTGAGTAATGTAAATAAGTGTTCAAGGGTGGCCTAGATTACATGTGTAGCTGCTGGATTAGCAGAGATAATCCAAATTGGATTGGAACCTTGTGTTTATCAGTCTTCAGATTGTGTGACTGGGACAGCCTGTGTCATGTCTCAGTTTCTCTCTTCGTAAAATGGAGATGGTAATGGTATCTAACTCATGGGTTTTGAAATACTGCACTGTTAAGGCTTGGATACAATTATCACTTGATAAACAGAATCAACCTTATTGTTGCTGTTCTTAGCACTGCTTATAAATATATTGCAGATTGTCAACCATGACTCCAATACAAACCATTTATAGATAGCATTTTTGTGACACTTTCTACAAACCAAACAGTGGTGAAATGCTGTGCAGATCACTCTGTGTACTATTAAGTTACATTAGTGTTAAAATTTCAGATACCTATTGTGGTTTAGCACCCCTTCTACCTAGAGACAGGAACAGAATAAATAGATACCTCTTCCCAACCTTAAATTTACTGGAAATGCATGATCCTTCTGAAAGTTCCACGATGGCACTTTAAGTGCTATTGTAGCTAACACCTATAATCCTAGCTACTGTGGAGACAGAGATCTCATGATCCTGATTTGAAGCCAACCTGGGCAAAAAAGTCTATGAATCTCTTATCTCCAAACAACCAGCAAAAAGCTGGAAGTGTAGATTTGGCTCAAGTAGTAGAGTTCCAGCCTTGAGTGGAAAAAGCAAGATCATGAGGCCCAGTGTTTAAGCTCCAGTACTGGCACATGTATGGACACACACAGACACATAGACACACAGACACACAGACACACACACACACACACACACACACACACTCACTCACACACACACACACACACACACACACACACACACACACACACCACGGCTATTATAATTCCAGTTTTCAAGCCATTGAGAAGGTTGTATAGTTGGTAAATAGTACAGTAGGAACTAACAAACACTCCCCAGATGGGTCTGTCTCAGTATGTGTTCCCAACCCTTTACTATTCTGCTTCCTGAAGGAGGCCTTCTAACCTTCCAGCCACAAGTTTTCACTTTGAAGTAAGAAACAACAAGACTAATATGAGGACTACTTGCGAAAAATTTATCGTCTCTGCTAATAAAGCAGTTTAATCACAGAAAAGAATGAAAACAAAAACAAGAACCCCATGGATCTGAAATTTCTTTCCAACTAGAAATAAGTTAAAATAATAAGATATCCTTTCAAATAAGATAGGATGGGTTGATGCCAGTACAACAGAATTCTGGCATAGGTAGAGATATGTTTGATTTGCATTTATGTACAGTTGGGTTAGCTGCTGTTAACATGAAGGCAGGATTCTATTGTTTTCTATTTATATACAAACATCTCCATATGCTTTCAATAAACAAGACAACAAACCACCCACTGTCTATGACACTGCTTCTCTCTACATTTCTGGAGTCATTATCTAATTGTTAGCACATGATGAAGGAGTTGGGGAAACAAAATGTCTGCATGATGAAACTGGAACTAAGTTGCTGGGTTCTTAGAACTGCTGCTTCTCAGGAATGTGCTGTCCCAAACATCTAGATTTCTCTTGTGTGCCATGAGCTGGCTAGGGACACACTCTGTGTAGATACGAAGTGGTTATTGCTAGTCTCAGGGGACAAAGCCATGTTTGGTTTTCTCACCCTTTTTAGCACATGTTATTCAAGATATCTATCCTCTTGTGTACAGGGTATAGGAAGAAACCTGCTCCTGGAGCCAGAATGTTTTATTCCTGAGGAAACTAGTGCTGATTGAGACAGCCCATAGCCGAGGTGGATGAGTAGCTCAAGGGCAAGTTCAGATACAGTCTATAACCCCTTACTTTTCTCTCTCTAATACAGGAAGCATTTCTCTACTAGGAGCCATGGATGCTGTCATTTATTACCATGCAATATCCTTAGTACAATGAGGAGGAATGCTCTCAGGTAGCCTCTTAGGTTGGGATTGCCAGATTAGTTGAAATCTGCTCAGGGGTGAGGAATCAAAACTTTGTCATGTGTTACACGCACATCCTCTAACACTTCTTTTTTTTTCCTTTTCTTTTATTTTTAAAGTCCAGTCTATTACGCCAAAAAACAATTTGGTAAGCATTAGCATTCTTTGGGTGCAACGTAAGATTAAAAAGTAGAAAATGGTTTAAAAATACATATTACAATGTTTTAAAATGCTTACTTTCAGCTATAAACATAAGGATGATGTTTATGTTCTTTGCTTTCATAAAATAAAACAACCCAGGCAATACTTCAGAAATACAGACCCAAGTTCAATAACATCTATTTTCCTTCCAACTTTGGCTCCCTTGCTTAAAAGGTTTTTAATTTCTCATAGTCTAGAGAAAATAATTGAGAAAATAGGCCTATTTTCTCAGGGTTCTTAACATATCTTTGGTTTTGACCTAAAATGACACCAGAATCCCAAAACTGAAAAGTAAAAGCATTTCCTAATTGTTTGAGTTAATCATTCCCTTTAATCTTCAAAGAAGTAAGTCAGCACTGACAGAGAGCAATCAGCCTTGGTACCACTTTTTTTCTTCCACAAACTTAATATTTCACAGATGATGGTGGTGATAATGTTTGGTCAGGTGGTAGGCTCAAAACAAATTGTCAAAGCAGATCATCTCTTGATGTGTGAGCTTGATGGCTAAACCCACCTCTCCAAGTAGTGCCAAGGCACAAGAATTCTATCTCTAGCAGGAAAGGTGGTGGCTCTTCATAGAGCTAGAGCCCTGGCCATAATCAGAACTGCAAGGTCAAAAATAAAGGCTATGCTCCCTGGTTAAAGGGTATCCTTAA